GCTGCTGGTCATCCTCTTCTCTTTCCTTCCACCTTTCCCAGCATTAGAACCTTTTCCAGGGAGCTGGGTCTTTGTGTAATTTGAGCCTGGTCATTCATACCTTGAGTGAGAACACTGTGTTGATTTGTTCAATGATCCATTGGTTTGTTTTCTTGGCTATCCACAGTCTGCCTCCTAAACTAGGTCCAGGTTAGAGTAAGTTAAGATTATCTTCATTTTCATGGCCCAAGAACGGAAACAATGTAGTCCAATCCTTGTATTCTCACCACTGACCTCATCTCTATTCGATCAAACAGAGCTCCTGATGTTTGGACAGCCTGGAGGCAACCTATCCAAATTAGGAAGCCAAGGAATCCCTGAACACTCTATTTAATTACATTTCCATGTACCAATAATTGCTGGTAGTATATCAATATGATGTATTTTGGAAAACAAACAACGCTATTTTTTCCTTGATCATTTTTCCAGACAGAAGTATACTTTGGTTTCCCTTTAGTTGATCTATTCAGAAAAAGTATATGTATTTTTGTAAAACATTGTCTTTTTGTAATGGAAAGACACACCCTATATCAAGTCTACTTTACGGTAATCTATGCATGCTGTGTGCATTTTTCTTTGTTTTGTTTGTGCCACTCTGTCAGTCTAAGGGACAAACTGAATGGACCTTTAAAAAAAAATCCAAATGAAGTTTCTCATTTGTAAACAATTCACCTGGCAGATGCTGTTTTTAATAACTTCCACCTGTTATGGACTCCTGGAGGCCAGAGGGCCCCACTCAGCAGATCTGCGACACCCACTAAGGAGGAGAATGCCCACTTAATAAATGGAAGGAAGGGCACCTGCTCAATGTTCCTTCTAGTGCAGACAGGGTTTCCTTTGTTAAAACAGTCACTGCCTGCTCTGCAGTTGAGTGCGCCCCAGGCAGTGTCCACTGGTGCTGGATTTTACCACTTGCTATCAATACTTGGTGATTATATTATTTGTTCTTGCTACACAGTGCCATTGAAAATCTATGGGCTTGAGTGATTCAGTTAATATCCTGATCACAGAGACAGTAAGACTTCAGGCAACTGCATAAAGAAAACTCTTGTTTGCTGCACATGTTGAATCTAGTGAAAAGGGAGGCAGCGGAAGCAAGCTACGCATCCTGCAGGTGGGAAGGAAGCTGTACATGGTGCTAAAATGGGCAAAAATGTGGAAAGGGTCTGGTTGACTCCCTCTGATTTTTTACCATAGACTAACCAACTCTTTTCCTACAATGTCTAGAAAGGGCAAGCAGCTTTTAACAACTCATCTCCTACATTTGAAAAATTTGAGCCGTTGCAAATTTGACCATCCTCCCCAAAAGATCTTTCACTTTAACCCAGATTTGCTACCTGTACAACAGAATCATAACAATTATAATATTTATTCTCAGAACACACACAGATAAAGCCAGATTCACACACAATACTAAGCCATAATGTACTTCAGTTTTTCACATACCCAGTCCACACATTATGGCTGGATCAGACTATTATAACTGGTTCCACAAACCATACTTTAAACAATACTGACTTACCATTAAATGTGAACCAGGCAAACTGTCTTCAGATAAGCCAAGCCAAATGCTTGATGAAAATACAAGGGCTTCTGAAGGTGGCCAATCATCATCAGAGAGACCACTGAACAGCTCTCCAGGACAAGAGAGACCACATTCTAGGAGCTATTATGGTTCTCATAAATTTCACAGGCTTCACTCTGATAATCTAAGCAGACCAAGTATTGCTTGCCACATGAAACCATCTTTCAAAAACCTGGAGTCAAACTGTTTGGAAAATCATCATTTTAAACTGAACTCACAAGTACAGCCAAAACCATTAAACCAAATACAACAATGAAGCTGCTATGAGATCAAACTAAAGAATGCAATGTTTTTATCTATTACCCTGCAAAGATCA